AGAATAGAATAGAATAGAATAGAATAGAATAGAATAGAATAGAATAGTTTATTGGCCAAGTGTGATTGGACACACAAGAAATTTGTCTTGATGTAAATACTCTCAGTATACATAAAGAAAAGATAACATTCATTAAGAATCAGGAATCATAACGTACAACACTTAATGATAGTCACGGGGTACAATCAAAAATCAAATCATACTAGGAAACAGTCAATATAAATCGTAAGGATACAAGCGACAAAGTTACAGTCCTACAATCACAAGTGGGAGGGGATGAGTGATAAGGACTGATGAGAAGATTAACAGTAATAGTAGTGCAGACTTTGTAATAGTTGAACAGTGTTGAGGGAATTATTTGTTTAGCAGAGTGATGGCTTTCGGGGGAAAAAACTGTTCTTGTGTCTAGTTGTTCTCGTGTACAGTGCTCTATAGGGTCGTTTTCAGGGAAGGAGTTGAAACAGTTTATGTCCGGGATGTGAGGGGTCTGTAAATATTTTCACAGCCCTCTTTTTGACTCGTGCAGTATACAGGTCCTCGATTGAAGGCAGGTGGGTAGTAATTATTTATTCTGCATCATAAGTATTTCCTTAGATGTCATTATTTCTGTTTCTCTCTCTGTGTGTGCATATACAAAGCAATTAAATGGGGGGGGGATTCATTAGATGAATAAGCTACTGCCTCCCTCCCATATTATTCATTCCAATTTTCAAAACAGAATGAATTAATAAGTTTTTCCTACCTAAGAATGTCCAGCCACAATGCACATGTGAACAAAAGGGTTGTAAGTTAGGATACTGTTCATCGTAGCCCTATAAAAGAGAGGAATGTATAAAGGGAATCTGTTCTGTTCAGTGGGGAGAAAAACTCCCTTATTAACCAGCTGGTGTCATTCTACCTGACTAGGAAAAAATTATTCTGCTATAGGAAAAATGAATCCAGAATATTCTCGCTTGATATCTGGATAAGAAAAGAGCCAGGAGTACCATGGAACCAAGAGAAAAGAGTGCAGTGAGAGCCATACAACACAGGATTCAACACTGTCTATTTCGTGATGAAGTTGAAACTCTAGATCAGGGCTGTCAAATTCCCGTCCTGCAGGCCAGAGGCCTCAAACACTGGCCATGCCCACATGCCTGGTTTAGCAAAGGGGGGGGGGGGAGTCCCGATACGTCACGTGATGCTACTCTGATGATGTGAATTTGACACCCTTGTTTGAGATGGAGATGGGCAGCTCAAAAAGATGAAAAATCAATAAAAATAAGGATAGCAACAAACCAAAATGGAGAGAGTTTTGCTAACTACATCAAGAATGGGCAAATCTCATTAGCTTCCATGATATTCTAAGTCAGTTTGGCTTTGCTTGAAAGATTATGTGCATTGCAAAATGTACATTTCTGTATGGCCAGATAACTATCTAGATCATTCAAGGATCCACCCAGACATCCTACATCTTATAGTGAACAACCAGAAGTTTCTAGAGTAGCCCATAAAAAGAAAGGTAAAAGGAAGAGTGCCCTCGTGTTTGTTCCTGGTGACTGTATTCATGCTTTTCTCTATGTTCCAGAAGTAGCTAGCCATTATCTTCTTTTAGAATGATTTGCTGACTTCCCAATCTAACCAACCACCTGGCAGCTTCACACAGATATTCATTAGTTCCAGTCCCACTTAGATTCTGAAATCTATCAAACTCAGTTGCCACTTGCTATGCCTCTACAAGAGGACACTAGGACAACTGCCATTTTGAATTATTGTTTCTGGAGGCATTAAGCAAACAGCCTACAGGAGCATGATCCACTAATTTCTGATTCATGGTTTTGTGCTACGTTTTGGGTCATGGAATAAGCCATAAGCATCTGGATTCATACAATACACCAAACCATAAAACATGCTACAATGATTGGCTTTATATAGCAAGGTAAGCAAAATCAAGCAAAATGGATCATGACAAAGTTCTGTCATGTAAATTTAGTGGGCTCTGAGTCTATGTGAATTAGAATTAGAATTCTTTTATTGGCCAAGTGTGATTGGACACACAAGGTATATCTTGGAGTACTCATCTCTAACGATCTAAGTGCTAGAGCCCACTGTCACTACATAGCCAAAAAGGCATTGTGTTTTTACCCTAATCCTACGTAGCTTTTTCTCTAGTAATATCACGCTACTAACTAGAACATACAAAACATTTGCTAGACCAATACTTGAATATAGCTCATCAGTCTGGAACCCACATTATGTATCTGATATTAACACAGTTGAAAAAGTCCAGAAATATTTCACAAAAAGAGTTCTCCGCTCCTGTACTCATTGCAGAATACCTTATGCCACCAGACTTGAAATTCTAGACCTAGACAACCTAGAACTACGCCACCTTCAGTCCGATCTAAGTATAGTATATAAAATCATACATTGCAATGTCCTACCTGTCAATGAATACTTCAGCTTCAACCATAACAATACAAGAGCACACAATAGATACAAACTCAAGGTTAACCACACCAAACTTGATTGCAGGAAATACAACTTCAGCAACAGAGGGGTCAATGTCTGGAATACTCTACCTGACTCTGTGGTTTCTTCCCCAAACCCCAAAAACTTTAACCTACTATTGACCTCACCCCTTTCCTAAGAGGTCTGTAGGGGGCGTGCATAAGCGCACCAACGTGCCTACCGTCCCTGTCCTATTGTTTCATTTTATTTTTCTTATATGTATCCATTTCATGTATTCATAACTATGTTTATACTTATACCTATTATCTTGTAAGCGATTGACAAATCAAATAAATAAATAAATAAAATTTGTCTTGGTGCAAATGCTCTCAGTATACATAAAAGAAAAGATACATTTGTCAAGAGTCAAGAATCATAAGGTACAACACTTAATAATAGGCACAGGGTACAATAAGCAATCAAATCATACTAGGAAACAGTCTGCAGTCTGAATTTCTGCAATCCCATTTTAAAACCATCTACATTAAAAATTCCCATCATCACACTTTTCCCATAAACGTTGCTGGAAGAAGTCCTTCCTTTGCTGCTCTGAATGTACAACAGATTTCATTATTATGGCTATGATTCCAATTATCTCATTAGCTTCCATGGTATTCTAGTTTGGCTTTGTTGAAAGATTATGTGTACTGCAAAATGTACACTTCTGTATGGCCAGATAGCTATCTAGATCGTTCAAGGATTCCTAGGACAAATCCTTTTGCTCCACCACCTAATGCATTCAAGACACTTTTCTTTTCAGATAAAAAGACTCAAGTCATTTCTCTCTTCCTTCTTGAGAACTTCTTTGATCCTTTGACCATGTTGACTACTTTTTTTGCACCTCCTTCAACCTCTAATGAATTATTTTAAAGGGAGAGCAAATGGGCTTAACATGGAAGTCTTTAGAAGAATCCATTACAGGTCGAAGGAGGTGCAAATAATGTAACCAACATAGTCAAGGGGTAATGGCTACAGATTTGCATGGTTGTATTCTGATGCTGGCAGTTTTATACCATATTCCAGCTTTAATAGCTCCTAGCATGGATTAAAAAAAGAAAAGGTATTATTGTTTTGTAAATCTGCTGCTAAGTGTTAAATTCACCCTCATTCAAACTCCTCTTTTTTATTGCTGGGTCATTGTATGCGTTTTGGATTTTATCTTGATTCTTAGCACAATCTAGATAAGTGACAGTAAGATCGCACTTTTTGTGTACAACACTTTTACTTGATTCTGTAGCCTCATATGTTCTTTTTGTCTGAAAGACTTTTGTCAG